ATTCCTCTTATTCTTAAATTTGGACTTTTTATGGTGGCAGATATTTACTGGATGTTTTGTGTTACGACTCTTTTGGTTTTAGTGTTTTCTTTGACTGATGAATCTATTTCTTCTATTGTGTCCACCACGCCTGAAATTCTCTCTTCCATCTCTTGTATTCTCTTGGTTATGGATGCATCTGTACTTCCTGTTCAATTACTCAGATTTTCTATTTCCATTATTCCTTCCTTTTGTGTCTTCTTCATTGCTTCTGTTTCAATTTTCAGGTCTTGAACTGTTTCCTTCACCTCTTTACTCACGTTTATTTTGTTTTCTTGGCTTTCCTTAAGGGATTTATTGATTTCTTCCAGTTTTTTTTTTTTTGGTAGTCTTTTTATCAATTTCTTTAAGGGAATTTTTCATTTCCTCTTTAAAAGCCTCTATCATCTTCATAAAATGATTTGTAAGATTGCTTACTTCTGCTTCTTCTATTCTGTGATGCTCAGGTCTTGCTGTTGTAAAACCTCTAGGTTCTATTGGTGCCATATTGCTCTTTATTTTGCTGTATGTGTTTTTGCAGTGGTGTCTACCCATCTCTTCCTTCAATAGGTGTAAGAGGTGTCTGTGTCTGAGGTAGCTGCTCTTGGTCCAGTCTGCTTATTGTGTCTGTGTCTCAAGGGACCGCTCTTGGTTCAATCAGATGTGGTAGATTCTGTTTCTCAGGGAGAAACAGGGGGATGGTTGGGTTAGGGCCAGGGAGTGGGTCTTGTAGATTGCATTTTCCAATGTGGGGTGCAGTGGGGTGACTTGTGTGGAGGAGTGTTGCCTGCTGGCCTGAAACTGGGGCAGCGATGGGTGGGGGTGGGGTGCACGGATTGTGCCTTCAGGCCTAGGTCCTACTGACAGAACTCTCTGGATGGGAGAAGATTCATTCACCTCTTTGTTCGATCAGAGCTGGCAGATTCTGTCCAACCTTACCTATCTTTTTAATACAACCTATGTTCCATAGGTTCTTTATTTCCATTACTCCCTCAGAACTTTCCTTATATATAACATATTCAGAAACTTGTCCCTGTATGTTTATTTTTCTGGATAATCACATGGAAAGACTGCTTTATTTTACTTTTCAGTTTCTAAGTGGCAATGTGGCAAGGTAGAGGTTATTTTGCAAAGGATTACAAAGTGAATGAATAGTACATAGGTAAAGACCCATTCTGATCATTAGTATTATTATTTTCCATCCTAGGATTGTGTATGCAAGCACTCTATTGCCAAGCTATATTCCCAGCTCTTTTTTCAGTTTTTATTTTTTGATAGTCTCACTAAGTTTTCTAGGCTTGCCAGAAATTTGCACAGACAGCCCTTGAACTTAACCATCATCCTGGCTAGTCTCCAGAGTAGCTGGTATAATAGGCCTATGCGATGAGGCTCTAATTAGACCTCCTTTTTTTATTTAATGTTGTTATTTATTTTTTACTCTTTTGGGGCCCCTACAACCAGCTCCCCAATAAATCACATGCAGATGTTTATTCTTAATTATGATTGCCCAGCCTTAGCTTGGCTTAGTTTCTAGCCAGCTTTCCTTAACTTAAATTTACCTCTGGGTTTTCCCCATTCTCTTCTATAAATCTTAATCTTATTCTGTGGCTTGCTGGTTGTGTAGCTGGGTAGTTGGCCCTTGATGTCCTCCTGTTCTCTGGTGCATTCTCTATATGTTCTGTCTACCTGAGATTCCCATCTATCCTTTCTGGTGCCTTGCTATTGGCAAGTTCTTTGTTAGACCAGCAGGTATTTTACACAGGCACAGTAACACAGCTTTACAGAATTAAAGAAATGAAACACAAACTAAAGTAACACAACTTAAAGTAATATTCTACCAAAATTTAAAAAAAAAATTCGTACAATATATTTTAGTCATATTTTCATCTCCCCCAACTACTCCCAGATACCACCTCAACTTCAGATTCTTTCTCATAAAAATCAAAACAGAAAAATACATGGGTTCCAATTTGTGTTGACCACCTACTATTCATGAGCATGTGGCTTGTCCTGGAGTGTGTTTAACATAATCTGACTCTCCATTGAATATAACTGGTTCTCTATTTCCCAAAAGTTAATGGTTGCACATAGCTTCTTGGTTAGAAGTGGGACTTTGTGCCCACTTCCCATTCTCTGTGCTGGGTTTTTTGTCTGGCTTGAACTAGTAGAGATCTTATGCATGCTGTCACAGTCTCTGTAATTTCAAATGTGCATTAGCCTTATTGTGTCTGAAAAATGCTGTTTCCTTGGAGTTTTTCATCACCTTTGGCTTTTATAGTCTTTGTACTTTCTCCTCTATATATATACCTGAGCCTTTGAGGGTTGCTTTAATGGGCTTTCCCTTTAAGACTGAGTGCTCCAAAGTCTCTCACTCTCTGAATGTTGTCTAGGTGTGGTTGTCCATATTAATTATTATCTACTGCAAGTAGTCTCCTTTCTGATGAGTGCTCAGCAATGCAATACTCAATGGATATAACAATATGTAGTTAGGAGCCATTTTATTTCTATTTCTAGGAATCATTTGGCAAAATAATTATAGTAAGGTTTTCCTTGAGGCCTCTGACCTATCTAGTCTCAGGTTCTTGGCCTCATTAGTGTGTCAGGTATAGGTTCCATCTTGTAGAGCTGGCTGGCCTTAAATCCAATTAAAAGGTGGTTGGTTGCTTCTATAGCAATTGTACCACTATTGCACAGTCAGTGGGTATATCTTGCAGACAGGTTGCTGTTATAGCTCACAGGGTTGACACTTGGGTGAGATTGATGATTACTTTTCTTCTCCAGTAGTGTGTATCATACCTTTCAACACTATGAACTCTAATTACCTGGAATGAAGCTTCTAATTGAGCATGAGCTTCTGAGTACATCTTTGGTTTCATTTTCTTTTCATTTATCCGATTCTGCTACCTAGGCCCCTAACCATACACTCTCTGAACTGAACTGTTCTCTTTCCTCTGTAGTTTGACTTCCTACTTGTTTTACAGTTCGAGGCATATTTAAATGTGAGCTGTGACACTGAAAGACTATGCTCTTGGCTACAGAAAGAATGTGAAAACAATCTTGACCTTACTTTGCACACATTTCTATCACAAGTATATTTGGTTCCTATGACCACATTTTCTCAACCTTGTTCAGGTAGTGATGTGTAGTAAAATTGTGTGTAAAATTGATAATAAAAGATGAAATGAAAGTTAAAAGAATGTTCATTCTGTTAACTAATGTCACAGCCTAGGGCCAGAGACAAGAGGATTAATAGCTCTGATGACCCGAACTACTTATCATTTCCTTCTTCTCCATTGCTAGATCGCAGTTCATGTACTAGTTTTGTTCTTTTCCTGTGCCATTTAAGAATAATTTTCCGGTTTCAGGCTTGACTTTGAAGAGGATTTGGCACTATTGGATTTGTGTGCTGTGCAAGTGCTGCTGCAGGGAACTGAGGGGAGAGCATGGTCCAGCTGGGAAGCCAGGACATGAGTTAGAGCTCCAAGAGGAGATCCTGAGAGGTCATGACATGAAGCTGTGAGCATGAAGCCTGGATTGCCTTTTAGACCACAAGATGAGTCAGAGCCGAAGTGAGGAGATCCTGAGAGTTCATTGCAGGAGGCTGTGATGGTGAAGTCGGGATTGCCTTTGAGACCAAAATATGAGTGCAGTGACCTATGATGATGTGCATATGGACTTCAGTGTGGAAGAGTGGGCTTTGCTGGATTCTTCCCAGAAGAATCTATACAAAGATGTGATGATAGAGACTTGCAGGAACCTCACTGCTATAGGCTACAGTTGGGAAGACCATAATACTAAAAAACATTGTCAAAGTTTTAGAAGGCAGGGCAGGAATGAAAGAAATCATACTGGAGACAAACTCACTGAAAATACTCAATGTGTTAAAATGTTTGCATATCACAATCATCTTCAAATACATACAAGAAGACATACTGGAGAGAAACCCTATGCATGTAATAAATGTGATAAAGCCTTTGTATGTCAGAGTCATCTACAAAGACATGAAGTAACTCATACTGGAGAGAAACCTTATGAATGTAATCAGTGTGATAAAGCCTTTGCACATCACAGTAGTCTCCAAACACGTAAAAAAACCCACACTGGAGAGAAACCATACAAATGTAATCAATGTGATAAAGACTTTTCACAATACAGTATTCTCCAAAAACATAAAAGAGTCCATACAGGGGAGAAACCCTATGAATGTAGTCATTGTGGTAAAGCCTTTTTATATTACCGTGATCTCCAAAGACATGAAAGAATACATACTGGAGAGAAACCTTTTGAATGTGATCAGTGTGATAAAGCCTTTTCACGACAGTGTAAACTTCAAATACATAAAAAAACTCATACTGGATACAAACCTTATGAATGTAGTCAGTGTGGTAAAGCCTTTGTATGTCAAAAGAGTCTCCAGTTACATAAAAGGACTCATTCTGGAGAGAAACCCTATGAATGTAATGAGTGTGGTAAAGCCTTTGTATGTCAAAAGCGTCTCCAAAGACATAAAAGGACTCATACTGGAGAGAAACCTTATGAATGCAATCAGTGTGGTAAAGCCTTTGCACATCACAACAATCTTCAAGAACATAAAAAAACCCATACTGGAGAGAAACCATACAAATGTAGTCAATGTGATAAAGCCTTTTCACAATACAGTAATCTACAAAAGCATAAAAGAACACATACTGGAGAGAAACCCTATGAATGTAGTCAGTGTGGTAAGCTCTTTGCTTATCAAGAGAGTCTCCAATTACATAAAAGAACACATACTGGAGAGAAACCCTATGAATGTAGAGAGTGTGGTAAAACCTTTATATGCCAAAAGAGTCTCCAAATACATAAAAGAACTCATACTGGAGAGAAACCTTATGAATGTAATCAATGTGGTAAAGCCTTTGCTTATCATAGTAGTCTCCAAGTACATAAAAGAACACATACTGGAGAGAAAGCATACGAATGTAATCTATGTGATAAAGCCTTTTCACAATACAGTTATCTCCAAATACATAAAAGAAGACATACTGGAGAGAAACCTTATGAATGTAAACAATGTGATAAAGCCTTTGCATGCCGAAGGAGTCTCCAAAGACATAAAAGAAAACATCCTGGAGAGATAGATGCCATATGAATGAAATTAGTGTGGTAAAGCCTTTGCATATCAAAGTAGTCTCCAAATATATAAAAGAAGACATAATGAAGAGAAACACTATGAATGTAATTAATGTGGTAAACCCTTTGCATATTAGCAGTCTTCAAAGTCATAAGAAAATAATCATACTGCTGAGAAACCCTACAAATGTCGTTAGTGTAGCAAGATTTTGCAATTCATGGTAGTCTTCATACATGAGTAGGGCTGTTAAAGCCTGTGCATATCACATTAATTGGTGATGATCTGAAAAAAAAAACAATACCAAAGGTAATATAACTATAAAGGATTTAGTAAGATCATTAGCCAACATATGTGCATTTAGTTACACGAGATTATTTTTCTGGAGAAAAAAAAATCTTGCAAGTGTCAACAATCTCTTCAGTCATTATGATGTCTTTATTTTGTTTGTACTTGTAACTCACATAAACAAAAGGCCTATGAATTTAAAGTATGAATCAACTCTTAGATTTCTTCTCTTCAATCACAGAAAAAAAGAAATCCATGAGTAAACTTTTATGGATGTGTATTAGTGCCTTTTCTATTACTGTAGTAAAACAATGCTTAAGTCAACTTATGAAAGAATTTGTTGGTTCATGGTTCCTGGGAGATACTGGATCACAATGAAAGTGGCATGGCAACAATTGTCAGACAGGGAAGATAAAGCAAGAAGCTAAGAACTTGCATCTTTTACCTGAACCATGAAGCAGAGAGTAGGAACTGGAAATGGTGTATGGATGAAAACTCCCAGCCCCACCCCTAGTGACATATTTCATAAGCATGGCAGCATTTTCTAAATCTTCTGAAATGACACCACCAACTGAGAAGGAATGATTTCTCTGACTTCAAGCCTACATGCTAGTTTTCCATTATATGAACCACTTCACAATGAAGAAAATCTCTGTAAGCCTTTTAAATGTTTCAAGATTTGTTTTTGTTTTTCGAGACAGGGTTTCTCTGTGTAGCTTTGCGCCTTTCCTGGAACTCACTTGGTAGCCCAGGCTGGCCTCGAACTCACAGGGATCTGCTTGGCTCTGCCTCCCGAGTGCTGGGATTAAAGGCGTGCGCCACCACTGCCCAGCTCAAGATTTGTTTTATTAGAATGAATGCTTACAAGATAAAAGCATTCATGATGAAAATTTGTTTACAGATTTTAACTAGGTGATGTCAGTGTATCTTTGTGTGCATGTGCATTCTGGTCCCCAAGAAGGTTATAGACCCTTGGAGCTTCTTGTAGCATGAATTACAAGAAATTGTCAAATCTTGACTTTGGTCCTGGGAATAAACTTGACTTAATTGTTCAGTCATGTCTCTAGCCCTCTAAATAATTTAAAACCTTTTACTATCATCTTGATATCAAAAAATAGGGAAGAACTCATACAAGAGGAAAGGCTATTCATGTATATGATTTTGTAAAGAACTTATACACCACAGTTGTCTTCAGTTTCAAAAAAAGGACTTCCTTCATCTCTTTAACATCCTAGCTTTGAAGGAAGCAAATTATGTTCACACAAGACTGATGTTGGAGATCAGTGCATTGTGGTTCTATTTTTGCAATATTTGGAGTAGTTCTTAAAGTGTGCTATATGTGTTGCAAATCTATGTAGTCAAATTCAATTTGTGGTCCTTATATTCCTCTGTGGCCATTGTTTATCCTGTTTGTGCTTTCACTTTGAGATAGATATTTTTCTATTGCAATGTATAGAATAGAATGGCCATCATCTAAGTAGTCCATTGTTTATTTAAACATCTGGCAATGCTGATCATACTTTTCAAGTAAGGATGTCTGTGAAAAGGTGGTGGGTTTTATTCTTGGTTTTCTTTTTCATATTTTCACAAATTCCCTTTAGATGTTGTTTGTTATTCAACCTAGGTTGGATGTCAGTAATTTGTTTGGAATACATTTGAACTCATGATCCTCATGTGTCAGTCTCCAGAGTAAAAGTCCAAGGGTAAATGATACACTCCTAACATTTGCTATTTTTTCAACATGTTTTAAAATGTTAATTTTAAATTGCTTAATAGAGGAGAATATAAGAAACATTAAATACCTCATGTGTACATCCAAAGCTGCACTTTCATCTCTAAAAGAGATGTAATGAGGTAAAATGATCAGCAATCAGCTGTACATTTGACATCTGTTTTCCCCTTTTGTCTGCTTATTTTATTAGCTTGGTACTATTTTCCATTACACATGATTCAGTATCAAATGCATTATCCTTTTTACTCTTTTTACAATGGTGGCTAAAATGTCACAAATAAGAAGTATGTACATTAATATTATCTTGATTTAGGACCTCTGCCACTGAAGAAGCCAGGGCTTATGATGTTGCTCTGAGATACCTCTTTTTAAAACTGTCTCATTGCGTTGTTTAAGTGGTTTCTGTATTATTAATGAATTAATGTTGTATTCGTTGTAAAGTAGTGATAGATCCCAAAAAACTATAGTGTATTAGTTTTGACTTTAAAATAGTTCAACTTAGAGAAGCTTAACAATGGTGGTCTGAATGTCAGCTTAAATTTCACCAAGAAGCAGCGTGCATTACACTGGTGTGCTATTTAATACTTGTATGAGGAATAGCTAAATCTGGAGGGTGACAAATAATTGTTATCCATGACCTCCTCTGAAGAAACCATTGTAACAAGTTTTAGCTGACAGCAGACACTAGGACCATCATCAGTGTTGATGGTTGCTGCTAATTTTGACAGTTTAATAGAAAAAAATCATGATTTATTCCATCACCTTGATACATTATCTGCAGATAGGATAGGTAATTCTCTTCTCTCTTGTACTTCTCTTTGAGTAGTTGATCTTATTTTATTTCTTACAGTGCTTATTTTATGTGGCTTCAGCTCTGTCAGTTTATTTAGATTGTTTCAAAGCTCCACACCAGAACTTAGGATTTAAAATGGCAGAGTAAAAATATTTGTACTCTATTCTGTCTGAAGTTACCCTCATACAATACAATACAGATTCCCATAGACAAATATTGCTGTAACTCCAAACTGAAATATTTGAAAAATGGTTGCCACGTGTAAAAAGAAGATCCTTGTAGAAAGAGATCTCTGAACTGACAGAACAAAGACATGGCTCTTCTGTTTACAGTAGGTCAGGACACATAGGGAGGCATGGGAGCATCCATAGATGTTTGGCAGCATGAACTAGCAAGTAGAAAAGCAAATAAGGTATACACAAGTGCACTATCCTTACAGCAGCAAAACAGAGGGAGAGATTGCCAGAGACTCTTTGGTACCTGTTTCTGACATCATGAAAGAGTAATGTTTTAACTGTTCCTAACACCTAATGTATATTCTCCAATTTTCTCACAAACACATGTGTATAAACTGTTCTGTTGGAAAGAAATTCCATCTAGTCTAGAATATAATGCTATTCCCTCCTACCCCATTATTCCTTTGAATAACTAGTCTTGGGGTACTCAGGCCATTCAAAGGTAAGTAATTAAAGGGAAATGAGCATGGTCCATGAAAAATGCTACAACAAGAAGGAAATAGACCAGAAAACAAGTGACAACCCATGATGAAATTGTACAGCCTAAGTGAGTGGGGTAGTTTATGAAATAGTTAAACTTTTGAAATGAAAGACAGAGGACTCAGTGATTAATATATGTAGTACTCCTCTGAGTGACTTGAGTTTGCCTCCTAGTACCTATATCAGGTGACTCAATAACCCCCTGTAACTCCAGTTCCAGGGGCATTGGCCACCACTGTCCTTTATGTGCCCCTGCACACATGCGAACATACCCATGCATGTACTTATAGTTAAAAATCATTTAAAAAATCTCTAAATAAAAAATAAAATCTCTAAAATGACATTATTGTCTGTACCTCAGTGATAATTTGCCAATCTGGGAAAGAAGCCTTGGGTTCAGTTAGTAGCCCTGCAAAAAATAAAGACAGTGTTCATTGGCTCAAGAGCTCAGAGTTAGTTATAAGAGAGAAATTTGGCAGAGCTCAGGAGGAACAGACACACAAGGAGAAATAACACACATTAGAATTGGAAGTCAGTGTTGAAGCGTTGGTGAGGTGGCTTGATGACAGGCTTTGGAAGTTGAACAAACTGAAATAGGTAAGAAAGGAGATGTACTTACTGTAGTTCTGGAAATAGAGATCCAATGTTTCAACAAAAGTATTTAAATGACTCCAAAAGTTTTCTACACAGAAATCTTTATAAGTTGAATGAATACACAAACACCAAAGAAAAATGAATATATGCCCATCACTATCATTACATTGTCTATGTCAACAAGATAGGAAATATGTGTGCTTCCACTCTGCATCTCACGAAAATCGATCAGATTCAATGTAGGTGGAGCTGTGTAATTGAACCGAGAATATTTAGCATTACAGGGCAATTATGAATACTGTAACTTACCGGGAAATAAAGTGTGACCTCACAGGCAAACTCTACTGACATCAGTTTAAACTATGCAAAAACTGAAAGTAAGTAGTACGTATCCATTCTTTTCTTATAAGCTGCAGAGAGACTGAGTGTGCCAAAGGTATATAGGGTCCTTGTGGAACACTGTACCAATAAGAGTAAAATAACAGTTATGGTACAGAATACAGTAACCAAGCAGAAATAAATAGGAAAAGGAGAGAAGACAGAGGTAACATAGTTTGCCAGTTTCTTGTTATAACCAGAAAACATAACAGAGAAATCTTAGATTATTAAGTGAAAGAGGTATTAGTATTCTTGAAGAAATAAAGCAAAACACAATAGGACATTTAAAAAATATTTAAGCAAGATCTTGTGTTTGAGTGGAGGTAGGAAGTACATACATACTAAATTTCTAACTAAACAAATAATCTGAGTTGACACCAAGGATGAAAGACCAAAATGAGTTCCAAAGTGTTCTTTACCCTTGCAAATACCAGGGTCATGCATGAGCATTCTAACACACATACACACACACACACACACACACACACACACACACACACACTATTCACAAAGAAACAGATACTGTCCTCCTTGACTAAACACTTTCTCACTTCTTTCCCATGAAAGTAGTTCTCAGTATGGTCAGAAGTGATATCACCTTTGGACTTGTCCGACATACATTCTGAGATGCAGAGGTCCCAGGTCACATCTGTTGTGTCACAGACATTGGAGAAGCCCCTCCCTGCATTCCTCTTGGTCAAAGTGTTCTGTAGTACCACAGATAGCTTTTTCTTAGCTTTTTTTCTTCTCCAGTTTTTATGGTTTTTTTTTTGTTTGTTTGTTTTGTTTTTTTGTTCAAGAAAGGGTCTTTCTATGTATCTCAAGCTGGTCTAGATCACTCTGTAGCCCAGGCTGGCCTTGTACTTTCTACCCCCTGCCTCAGCATACCAAATGCTAGCCTTATAGCCATGTACTGCTATGTTTCACTAAATAACTTTGTGTGCGTGCTATCAATCTTTGTTGAAGTTAACTTAATTTCCTTTTTTATTTTTCTTTTTATTTAGCCTTTTTTTCTTTTCAGAAGTATCTCTTTGTTCACCGCAATCAAGATTACCTTCCTGTTTCATGAACATGATGAAAACAGCTGGGTTACTGTTGGGAACATCTGAGAGAACACCACACACCAAGGAGTAGAATAAAAAAGAACTTAATTTTGGTCTTTTAACACTGACAAGTTCTGCATTTCTGCTGTTTCCGCTGTACTACTACAAGCAGTGTTTGTCACCAAAGGTAATTCTGTTTTTTCTTATTAGATGTCATTGTGGCTTTGTGTTTTCTTAACATTTACATTGCAGTATATTCAATTAATAATGTTGAACCTTTACAGAAACATTTCTCACAGGGATTCTCAACTTTGTAGGATGTAGTAGGCAGTTCAAAATTACAATGAAATGTTTTTGTAATTATATAATTAAATCAAAAGTAATGTTTCAATCATATTTAATCTATTCACATTTTCTGATAAATAAAAATTATTGTCCACAAATTAGTCTCAGTTAAATGAAGTCACTGATAATTTTGATATGTTATCAAAATTACTTTATCTTCGTGTATAATATCTACCAGAAGAATTATAGTAGAACTTACCTTTGTTGCTGCTTGTAGGACTGAAGATGTGTAGATACTGGTTTGGAGTCCAGTAGCTTCTCGTAATAGTAAATGCCTGTAGCACCATGTTGGGATAACTACATAGCTTTCCAGGATCTTAGGAGAGATTACCCTACATTGGTCACTGTCTAGGGAAGGGGACTATTTGCTATCTTAGAGTAAAGAAGACCTAATTCTTATGTTTGGAGTTTCCTGTAGATGATCTCTAGGCCCTAGCCACTTAACTAGATGAGTTTATATTTTCTGTGATCTACAAAGGAAATCAATCCAATTATTTAATAATTAAAGGTAAGGAACAATTATATTGTATTTCATAGAGGGATGGGCTTGACTTTTCAGAATCAGGACAGTCATTCAGGCTTTTGAAATGCAGACTAGTTTGTTTGGATGTTCTGTCAGGGAGCACAGCTCCTCATATACCCTTGGCCCAAGAACAGTCCTCTTTGACTGAGTGCTCGACTTTAAGAGAGAAAAACATGGAGCAGTGAGGGAAGACGGGGACACCTGCCTGGCCAGCCAAATTAACCCTGACAGTCAGTGGGGTAACAGATACCACAGTGCCATTCCCCTCATATCCTGAAATACAAACTCTAGTAGAATGGTAGTTTTGTGAGCATTCTATGGACTCTAATTTTCAAGTACAGATATTCTTCAACTTGCAGTAAGATTGCACCCTGATAAACTCATTATAGGATAAAAATATTGTAAGTAAAAAAATAACAAGCCTCATCTACTGACCACCATAGTTTGACGTATAGTATGCTATGAAATAGAGTACCTTCATTATCATGTGGCTGGTAGCTCCACAGTACCATGAGTATTGAATAGCCTGTCACTTGGCCAGGAAAAGACAAAAGTTCAAAACTTAATGTATCATTTCTATGCAGTGTATTGTAAACCACACCTATTGTAAACTCAAAAAATTGTGAGTCTCCCTATCTGAAGTTGAGATCCATTCATAATTGGCTTACAGTTCATACCAAAAAACGAGAAGACGTGTTTCTAGGGATTATTTTCTTCTTGTTACACCTAACAGCTTAATGTGGTTTGAATTCAGGGCGCTTGCCTAACTTGCATTTACTGATGACTTGTTAAGACCTAGGATATATAGCAGGAAGAGTGAGCTTAGCAGGGCAAAGGTCTTACTCTTATTTGATAGTCATAGCAGTAGTACTGATTCTTGTTTGTTGTGGGGTTCTCTGTGTAGCCCTGGCTGTCCTGGAACTAGCTCTGTAGACCAGGCTGTCCTCAAATGCTCAGAGATCCACCTGCCTCTGCCTCCTGAGTGCTGGGATTAAAGGGGTGCACCACCACTGCCTGGCAGTAGTAATTCTTGAGTCTGGGCTCATAGTTCAAGTCTTTATTCAATTATCTGGTATGGTTATATTTCATTTGTACAAAATGTGATTTTATTTGTTAATAAATAAAGTTGCCTGGGGGTCAGAGCTAATAGCAAGCCATAGCTGAAGCCAGGCGGTGGTGGCACACACCTTTAATCCCGGTCACATGACAGGCAGATCTCTGTGCGTTCCAGGATACAGCCAGCATGGAGACAGACGCCTTTAATCTCAATACCAAACATAGAAGACCTGGAGGTCTGTATAGACAGGCAGTGACGAGAAGTTCATGTGGTTGGGTTTACAACCAATGAGAGGCAGAACAGAAAGTCAATAAAAAGACAGATCCTGGGCCAGGCGGTGGTGGCGCACGCCTTTAATCCCAGCACTCGGGAGGCAGAGCCAGGCGGATCTCTGTTAGTTCGAGGCCAGTCTGGGCTACCAAGTGAGTTCCAGGAAAGGCACAAAGCTACACAGAGAAACCCTGTCTCGAAAAACCAAAACAAACAAACAAACAAACAAAAAAGACAGATATACAGGAAGTAGGTCTCTTTCAGAGGGGAAGTACGGCAGTGGCAGTGAGGGGTAAGAAAGGGTTTTTAGTCTCAGCTCTTAGCTACTGCTCTGACCTCTTGGGCTTTTAACTCAGCATTTGTTTCTTATTTAATAAGACTATTACATGTGCAATCTGGCTTTCAGCTGGTCACCTCTTGAGCTTTGATTCCTTTGGTTGGGATTCTTTTTTTTTTTTTTTTTTTTTTTTTTTTTTTTTTCGAGACAGGGTTTCTCTGTGTAGCTTTGCGCCTTTCCTGGAACTCACTTGGTAGCCCAGGCTGGCCTCGAACTCACAGAGATCCACCTGGCTCTGCCTCCCAAGTGCTGGGATTAAAGGCGTGCGCCACCACCGCCCAGCATGTTGGGATTCTTAACAACATTACCAACTGAGCTAAGCTAGTCTAGTGGATGTGATGCATCTCACTTAGTTTTTTCTACATGTATATGATCAAAGACAAGAGCTTCTAGCAGCTTATGTTTCCTACTGAAGGTTTTACATTACCATTTGCAAAATAAAGTTGAGAGGCTAGTGAGATTGCTCAGTGGTAAGGTCACTTGCCTCCCTGTTGAACAATCTGAATTCAATTCCTGGAACCCACATCGTAGAAGGAGAGAACCAGCTCCTGAATGTTGTCCTCTGACCTCCATACATGTGTCGTGACACACCTTCTGTCACCCCTTAATAAACTAACAAACAAATAAATAAAAATAAAGTTGAAGTAAATGATTATAGAGTCCTTGCGAGCCTATGTCTCTGTTTTATGCATGAGTTAACTGGGATCTAGATTGAGTGTTCCTTGCTCATGATTAAAGTGTTCAGGACCTAAAGCTTGTGTCTTTACTGGAGCTGCTCTGATGTATAAGTAAAAGTCTGTCTAAACAGAGTATGTTCAGATTGGCAGATATGAGATGAAATGGCTTTCAGAATGCTGTACGACAGTTGAAAATATTGGGGTTGATGGCTAAGTAAAAGACAAAGCAGTAACTGGAGCAAGCCTTATATTGTTCTTCCTAATCAGACAAGCCACCCCAGTGCCATATTACCTAGAAGGCTACTGACAGGCTGTTATGCTGCGCTAGCTTCCCATTTGTTCAGTAATTCATTTTCCGTTAGAGGGAGAGATTTGAAAGAAGAATGGCAGCAGTTGTTCACAGTAAACAACTTCCTATGCTATTATTAGGAATGGAAACTAACCTTTTAACCATGTAGAACATATGCAGCAAAGACTTTTAGAATAGTTTTAAGTGGGTTGCTTGTTAAAATTGTGCAAAGATTTTTCCCTTGATCTTTGACTTTTGTGGTAGCTGACAATTTCTTGTAACTCCAGTTCCAGGAAAATTAATGCTCTCTCTGGCCTCTGCAGACACTTCACACATATGGTATATGTGTATAGGCAAAATACTCATAAACATAATAAATACATTTTAAGTAAAAACTACTAGATTTGGTGGCAGTAGTGGCACACTCAGTACTCAGGAGGCAGATCTCTGAATTCTAAGACAACCAAGACTACACAGAGAAACCTTGTCTTGAAAAAAAAGAAGGCTCATAGACTCTGAGACACCAAAGAAGTGAACCTAAAAAGAGAGAGTGTCTTGAGACATTGCAGGAGATGTCTGTACTATGGATTCAGGAGAGTCCAGTAAATGAACCGTTCCAGTGAGGCAGATGCTACCAAGTTTTGGTAGATGAAATGAGATTAGGGCTACCAACCAATGGAATTAGCATTGTGGAGGTCAGTGGTAGTTGTGAGTGTCTGGCAGAGCGGGTTTGAGCTCAAGTGAATTGATAAGAAAGAATTAAAGGCAATGAGAGCGACATTGGGAGTTTTGCACCATGGAGAAAAAGAAATTGTTGGAGGAAAGATCTGTCATTAGGTTTTGGTTTGTTTTGTTTCTTGTTTTAATTAATTTTAATGGGAAAAATAATTTTGGGTTTGTATATTCATAGGAATGGTCCAGCAGAGCAATGTCTTTGGCCAAGCAAGAGGGCCTGAGATGTAGTCAGGAGAGAAGTGGCTGTAAAGAGGAATGTAGGCAGTTCTTCTCTTAGGAGAAGAGGGCAGTCAGACTGTTTGAATGTAATCTCAGTAGGTGGTCTAGTTTTTAAGAGGAAGTGAAGATGGCTTATGCAGAATAGGTTTAAATGTCTTGTTAAGTTGATCATTTTTTATCCTACTAGTTTCTTTTCATTTAAAGTTAAAAACTTCATTTTTTCCCTAAGGGTTAGGGGTGTAGCGTAATGGGTTGAGTGCTTGTCTGAAATGCACAGGGCTTGAGTTTGATTTCCCCCACCACATAGATCAGGTGTGGTAGCAGGTGTCTATAATCCCGGCACTTGAAAGATGGAGGCAGAGGGTTGAAGGTAATGTTCCACTATACAGTGAGTACAGAGGCAGCCTGGACCACCAAGAGCCTATCTCCAACAGGAAAGCATAGATTCTGCTGGCTGGTAAGGCAAGTTTGTAACCCCAGCACCCAGCCAGCTAAGGCAGAAGATCTCAGTTAGAAAGTATCCCTGGGATTCACACTTGCAAGCAAGCACACAGGCATGCACACACAGTTTCTTCTTCCCTGAATGGTGTCTGCTTCATTTCTTCTTTGCTTGGGTTTTTTTTTTTATTTTGGGGGGTTGACGAGCCCACTGTGGGCAGTGCCAGCCCTGTGCATATGATTTGGGGTTGTATAAATTATAGCTGAGTAGGCCGGTAAGTAGCATTACTTCATGGG